CTGCATATCTCTGGAAGTGTTCATGGTAGAGTACTCTAACTTGGCATGGAGATATATCAAACCAATCGCATACTCATGGAGAAAAAATTTAGTTATTGGAATAGGGGGCGTGGCACCTTCCATAAACCGATCAAATAATGGCATCGCATTGGCCGTTGCATCATCTGGCATTGCAGCAACTTTATTGGATGGAGGCAGGACAGCTCATTCAGCATTTAAGCTACCTCTGAATATTCAAAATAACCCAGGCGCAGTGTGCAACATAAAAACACAATCGTCAATAGCCACAGTGCTGAAACAATGCAAAATTATCATCTTGGATGAATGCACTATGGCACACAAACATTCTCTTGAGACGTTGAACCGAACACTCAAAGATATAAAAAAGAACGACAAACTATTCGGCGGCGCTCTGTGACTCCTTTCAGGTGATTTCAGACAAACACTTCCTGTCATACCACGTTCAACGTACGCCGATGAAATCAACGCTTGCTTCAAATCATCTTCACTGTGGTGTAATGTTGAAAGAGTCCAGCTAAAAATAAACATTCGCGTCCAAATGCTACAAGATCCATCCGCTGACACATTCTCGAAACAATTATTAGATATCGGCGATGGAAAAGTTACTGTCCATGAAAATACTGGCTGCATAAAATTGCCCACCGATTTCTGCACAATCGTTGATTCTCAAAATGCTCTCATTGACCGCATATTCCCCGATGTACGCACACAATACATAAACCACGCGTGGCTAGCAGAAAGAGCCATTTTGGCAGCAAAAAATGTGGACGTCGACGATTTAAACTTCAAGATACAGCAGGCGAATTGGTATCATACAAATCGATCGATACAGTTTGCGATGCCAACGAAGCTGTAAATTATCCAACAGAGTTTTTGAACTCACTGGATTTGCCAGGCATGCCACCACACCTTCTACGACTGAAAGTTGGATCTCCGGTTATTTTACTTCGAAATTTGAACCCACCACGGTTGTGCAATGGCACGCGATTGGTCATTAAAAAATTTATGAAAAATATAATCGAAGCCACCATTTTGAGTGGCAAATTCCTAGGCGAAAATGTTTTGCTGCCACGTATTCCAATAATTCCCACAGACGTGCCAGTTGAATTCAAACGCGTTCATTTTCCTATTAGATTAGCATTCACAATGACAATCAATAATTCGCAAGGGCAAACGATGTCCGTTTGCGGCTTAGATTTGGGCACACCATGTTTTTCATATGGACAATTATACGTGGCATGTTCTCGAGTGGGCAAACCATCGGGCTTATTTGTGTTGGCTAAAGACGGACTGTCAAAAAATATCGTACACTGAATTGCCATTCGAAATTAATATGGGTTTTCTTTATTTCATTTTTTCTACTTTATGATAAAAACATATATATATTAAATTTTTTACTTTACATTTAACATTTAAGAGATCCAACAATGAATATATCCGTTCGTTAATGAAATACATTGAATTGAGAAAATGAAGGGTTGTTGTTTTTTTATATTTTTATCAGTGGTCGTTCCTCTTTCTGCCATTGGTCCCATCTCCACATATCCGTTTGATCTTCATCAAAGAATGGACCGTCCTCATACCATTTCCCACAGCGCAACCCCAAACACGGTCAAACCTTCACGTATTTGCTCGACATCCACGTCCTCAATGTCCTCAACGGCGAATAAGTTGTCTCCACTGTCGTCGTTACCGTCCCGGTATAGCTGCATCCGTAATCGAGTCCGAAAAATTGCTAGAATAGAACTGCGACACACAACAACAGTACACTTTCATCTTCAAATTTAATAGCTCTGATCCAATAGGTTAGGTTAGGTTGGGCGGCAGTCCAGAAGTAGGACTCAGGGTCCTTTGTGATACCGCATGAGGGGTTTTTAATTATCCCCATCCCCTGTAAACCACTTAGTGCTTAGCAAGAATGTGCAAAGACTTCTGACGTTCACCTCTTTGAGGTCATCGAGATCGTCGAAGAAGTAGCTCCCGAGAGCTTTTTCTCTCCGTTTTGATAGAGCGGGGCAATGACAGAGAAGATGTGGGATGGTTTCCTCTTCGTCTATATCCATGCAGCTCTGATCCAATACTTTTCGTGAAAAATCCTGTAAAACTGTCAAACAGCAAAATTACTCTCTGAAGTGAGAGTAAAAAGTGAGTAACAACAAAAAGTACGGGAACAAAAAAAACATTTTTCCTGTAAAAACGTCAACCAGCGATTGCTTGACACTTTTCATGATTTACCCAGAAGAAAAAGTTCGGGTAAAATCTTGCAACTTCATTCTCTACACAACTCTCCAAAAGTCGCTCTCATTTACAGGATTTTGGAGGATTTTGGAGTACGGGAACATTTTTCCTGCAACTTCCTGCAAGTTCGTGTAAAATCCTGTAAGTTCATGGAGTACTGGATCAAAGCTAATATTTCACTTACGACTTCTTTGATATCTCTGCCTGATCTTTTAGCGATCGTTAAAACATTCAAACCCACTTACAATAATGCATTCGTTATTTTTTATTTGGCAACCAAGATATTCACTAGAAATAATTTATATGGCAGAACAACGTTTGCCGGGTCAGCTAGTATATGTATATACTATGTGTATATATGTTAACATACAAAATACTTTTTTCCGGGAAGTGGACCAGGGACCGATCTTTTCGTATAACATATGTATATGTGTGTATATATGTGTATATATGTTAACATGCAAAATACTTTTTTTCCGGGAAGTGGACCAGGGACCGATCTATTCGAAAAAAAAATCGTATTTATTCGATTTGCTACAAATTTGGTACGTAGGTAGCCTATTTGCATGTATTAAGATATGGGATACCTCTTTCCGGTAACTGCAGTTTTTTTTTTATTTTGCAATATCATGATTGCGTGTATATTATTATTGATCTGTAGTGGATATATCTACACTAATATACATTTTGAACACCGTTTTTTCTTGTGATGGTTATAGGCTAAAAAAAAATCGATTAGTAAAGGGGGCATGGCACCTCCCATACAAACCGAATTTTTCATACTGCATATATCTGGAAGTGTTCATGGTAGAGTTCTGGAACTTGGTATGGAGATAAACGAAATCAATCGCAAGTTATTGGAGAAAAATTGGAGCTACTGGAAAAGGGGGCGTCTCCCATACAAACCCAATTTTTCATATATCTCTGGAAATGTTCACGGTAGAGTACTGGAACTTCGTAAGGAGATATTTAAAATTAGTCGCATACTCCCGGAAAAAAATTAGAGCTATTGGAAGAGGGGGTGCGGCACCTCCCATACAAACCAAATATTTCATACTGCATATCTCTGGAAAAGTTCATGGTAGAGTACTGGAACTTGGTATGGAAACAAACGAAACCAATAGCATACTATTGGAGAAGAACCGAAATTTTCATACTGCATATCTCTGGAAATGTTCACGGTAGAGTACTGGAACTTGGTGTGGAGATATTTAAAATCAATCGCATACTCCCGGTAAAAAATTTGAGCTGTTGGAAAAGGGGGCGCGGCACCTCCCATATAAACCGAATATTTCATATTGCATATCTCTGGAAGAGTTCAATTTAGGGTACTGGAACTTTGCATGGAGATATATAAAATAAATCTCATACTATTGAAGAAAAATTGGAGCTGTTGGAAAAGGAAAGGGGGCGTGGCACCTCCCAT